CCTTTATGCAAATGTGGATCCATCATTTTACAGTCCCTCTATAAGAGTTGCCCTTATGGGAAAAAAATAGATTGGAATATGACAGCTGAGTTTTCTTGACAGGCAGAAAAGTCTGTTTTGCCCAAGACAAAATGGATTCATATTTTACAAGATTAAGATGCTATCCATTGGCCATTCTCTGCAGACCCCAATCTAAAGGCCCTCTCAGAAGCCGGGGTCATGACAGAGGAGGGTGTGGAAGGAGATGGAAGAGGGCTGGAACCTGGAAAACAAATTCTACAACTTGTAGATAATAAACAAAAAGTGTAGGAACTTCCCACTAGCTGATAGAAAGAAAATGTCACAAACATGAAAACATAATAAAGCTGGCTTTGAGTCCTTGGTGCCTTCCCTTCATGATTAATGATTGGTCTCAAATAGGATGGGTAAGGGAAAGTGAAGTTCCTCTTGAAGTAGCTTTAAAAATGCCACAGCTTAAAAAAATTATTGTAACATCAATTTAAGAAAAAAAAAACTCTGCTAAAATGTAAAGGTCAAGAAAGATTTGGGTGTTTTTAAATGCTGTCTAGAAGAAATTCATATAAAGGTTACGATGTCAGGTAGTTTCAGTGTTATAGGCATAGAAGGGGGGTCCTGGACAAAAGCAGTACTACCTGGGGGCCTTCAGTGACTATGACCCGTGCCGACAGTGGGAAGCATGCAGCTGTTGGATCACAGTGTGTCACTGTGTCCGTGGGGAAAGCCAGGCACTGCTCTCTCAGAGCCTTTAAAGCCGTGGGAACATTTCACTTCCAAAGCTCTCTTTTGACTACAGGCAGGCCTTAAGATGATCTGCCCTCGTCCTCCCAACAGCATCACTCAAAGCAGCACTTAAAGCCCCCCAAGGGAGGGAACTCTGAGCTCCTGCTGCCCCTCTTGCCTTATTTCACTCTGCGTGGAACTACTCAGTCCTTCAGAGGAAGTTTCCACAGACAGAACCAGGCCTGGTCTGTAGGTTTAAGGCATATGGGGGAATCTCCTGACCTCTACAAAGAAGGGGCCCTGTGAGCATGGTGGAGGTTTCCATGACCTCACACCTCAGTGGTCTGGGAATAGGTGTCCCTTTGGTCTCAGGTGTTCTAGTCACAGGCTACCAGACACTTAAGGGACGTCTCCTGGCCACGGCGATCCTGGCCATGGCGGTCCTCCCCGGGAATGCAGCCTGGAGCGCCTGCACAACGGTGCATCCGAACAGGACTACCCCTCAGGGATTCGGGGTTCTCCTGGTCACGGAAGAGCAGTGGTTCTCCACCAGTCCTCACAAACATGACCCCCAAACCACCTGGACGGGATCCAATTGCTCCTCTCAACGTGGCCTCTGGAGAGGCAGCCTTGTATCACCCGGGAGCCTGTCAGAAATACAGAATCTCAGGCCTCACCTCAGACTTATTGAACCAGACTTTGCATGTTAATGAAATGTCCCCATGACATGTGTTCCCATGAAAGTCTGAGATGCTCTGCTTGCTCAAGACATACGTCCGCATGAGTAAGCATGTGCACGTGAGCAGGCACACACAGCGGCCAACTCTGCCCTGGGGAACCTCTGTTGAGTGATAAGGGTAGGGCTTAGCCCTCAGAAACAAAGGATGGAAATGACCATTGTAGAGAGTTCGCATCTGTCTTGCCAACACCTATTAAAAGATCAAGAGCCGGACACTGTGCACTTGCTGTGCGTATTTATCTTAGTGAGATTTACTCGGATGATGTGGGCCCTTGGAAGAGCAAGTTAAGTCATTTGACCCTTCACACCGCCTCACTCTGAAAGGTCCTTTGTGACCTTAGCTGATCTTTTGTGGCAGGGCCGGACTTCCAGATAGGGAGCTAGACCTTTGCAAAACATAACTTGCAGGGCATCAGGAAGCGACTCTCAAAAGGCAATCTGAGTGTCTTGTTAATTGAGTCTGGAATCCGCCATCAAAGAGTCAATCACTTGAGTTAACTGAGAGTTTCTTGTTAAATATGTAAGCCTCACCGTTGCTACTCAGGCCACTTCCCCTGGAGTGGGCAAAATGCTTCTCCTCTAGTGTCTGTCTCAAACTCTCTCCCAAAACTACCTTAATTTCCCTGACACTTCTACTTATTACTGCTGCTTCTTATTTCTGATTTTACTAATTTTATATTCCATTCATTTAACACTGAAAAGGTACTCTTTTGCTGTTTCATATAGCCTCTCCTTCCAACTAGCTTTTTAAGCCCATCAAGAGCACATATGTATCCTATTTCTTGTAGGCCAGCCCCAGCCTGGGCAGTATATCCAGGAGGGGGTCTAATAAACTTTAAAAAATTAAAGTATCGTCATCAGCTATTAATGCTTCTGGATGCCAATGATCTCCAGATGCCGGACATTCACACACGTCAGCTAACATGATCCTTACAATTACCCCCGGGACCCCCATGCTAAGAGGAAGAGACTGAGGCTCAGGGGCCACAGGGGACTTTGCAAAGTCACATGGCTAGTGCACGGCCAGGCCAGATCTGAACTCAGATTTATCTGCAACGTGTGTTCCCTCTTCATTAATCCTGTTGTGGGAACAAGGTTGCCTTTTGCTGCCTGCTGAGAGCCAATCATATAAGAGCTCTGGGATGTGAAGACTGGCTGGTTAGAGAGATGAAAGACAAGGTCCCCATGAGCAGTCATTGTATTCAATATGATCCTGGGAAAGTTGTTTCTTTTTCTGTATCCAAGAGTCTCCTTCTCTAGCATAGGCGTGTTTATCTTTAACTCAGTGGGTCACTGAAAAGTTCAACAGTCAGTAAGTGTCAAGGAAGGGAAAGGGCACTGGATATGAGAGCTGACCTCAGGGACAGTCCCTGGGAATTGGGGTCCTTCGACACTCTTGAGGAGGGTGGTTCTGTGTACAGCCACCCCGGTTTCAGAGTCTTGCTTTTCCTCCCACTCCTTGCTTCCGATTTCTTAAAGGAGTGACAGTAGATCTTCTCCAGAGTGGCCTTCATACTGTGAATGAGCCTGCAAAGGTCCATCTCCCACCTTACGACATCAGAAAGAGCAGATCTATTCTTCACATTCAGGGCATGGAAGCCAGAAATTGCCCATTTATGAACCTGCTCACAGGGAAACAATTCCTGCTGAAGGGGCTTGGGTTACTTCATTGACATTTACCACAAAAACCTGTGCTTTTGCACATATCCGAAAAACAAACCAAAACCAAAACCAAAACCAAATCCCCACAATACCCTGGGTTCAGGAAGAAGTGGACATAATGTGATTCTTCCCAATCAAGAGTCAGTGAGGGATTTTAATTCCTGAACACAATTATGATGATGGCTATGACCTCCATGGAGTCATTGACTTTTGCTACTCTTCCAGGGAGCTGGATTTCCATATTTAGAAAGGAAAGGGCGTGATATAAGGAATCTTGTGTAGCTACAGAAAATTCTTTCCTAAATATGTAGTGCTTTTCTAAGAAGCCTTTCCAACTAAATGATTCAGCCTAGTATCAAAACATTCTACCATATGATCTAGCAATCCCACTCCTGGGCATATATCTGGAGAAAACCATAATTTGAAAAGATACATGCACCTCAATGTTCATAGCAGCACTATTTACAATAGCTAAGACATGGAAGCAACCTAAATGTCCATTGACAGAGGAATGGATAAAGAAGATGTGGTACATATACACAATGGAATATTACTTAGCCATAAAGAGAATGAAATAATCCCATGTGCAGAAACATGGACCTAGAGATTATCATACTAAGTGAAATAAGTCAGAGAGACAAATATCATATGATATCACATACATGTGGAATCTAAAAAAAAAAATGTTACAAATGAACTTATTTACAAAACAGAAACAGATTCAGACTTCAAGAACAAACTTGTGGTTACCAAAGGGGAAAGACTGGGGGGGGAGGGATAAATTAGGAGTTTGGGATTAACATATACATACTACTGTATATAAAATAGATAAGCAAGAAGGACCTACTGTATAGCACAGGGAACTATACTCAATATTCTGTAATAACCTATATAGGAAAAGAACCTGAAAAAGAGTGGATATATGTGTATATATTACTGAATCACTTTGCTGTACACCTGAAACTAACACAACATTGTAAATCAACTATACTCCAATATAAAATAAAAAATTTAATTTAATTTAAAAAATAGTTTTACAGTTACATAATTCACCAGCCTAGTTAAGACAAGTGTTAAGTAAAAGGGAACAAAGTTAAGGTGTCCAAGGTTTCTATCAGAGCAGCTCCTGCTACATGTGTCCTCTTTGAGCTGCCATCATGACTAAGATTCTCACATTTGAACAGCTCTTACCATTAGACCAATTTGTTTGGGTTAATCCATTGTCTCTGGCTGGAAGGAACCTATTAAAAGTACAGGTTACTTGGGCCTAGTAACACAATTCCCACAATCATCGTTATTCTAGCTGCGTGAATTACTTTATCAGATTAATTAGCTGTCACCTATCAGACAATATGGCTCTGAGGAAATAAGGCATATTTTAACGGACATCACTGTCTGAAATATGAAACATTATATGGAGCCCTATGGTGGGGGTCTGGGAGGGTAGAAGACAGAGAAAGACACTGATTAAGAAGGGGGAGCAGAGGAGAGATAAGTCAGGAGAAGATCAAAATCACACTTCTATCCCCTTTGCAATTTGGCCTCTGATCCATGAAGTTTTGTTTTCTGATGAAATGTTTCTAATGTAAAGTGACTAATATAATCTCTTCTTCATACATGCCTCCAAAAAATAAGTCCTACTTGTATCAAAATTAAAAGTGAAATGATTCTCCTGATCCTTTCTGGCAATGTTAGCCCATATCTGCTTCTCCCCTCCTTCCTGGGCACCCAGCTAAGCAGCATTTCCCAGCCCTGTGTGTCTAGATAGGGGTCACGTGACTAAGGACTACAGACCAGGATGTAGGTGACCATAGAACATGTCACATGGACTTCTAGCCTCTCTCCCTCTTCCCTTAAGTGGCTGAAAACCAACAACTGGAAGACACAAGAGAGATGGAGGAAGCCCCTTGGCAGTAGATGGCTGGGTCCCCGAGTCACCACCTGAAGAAGGACAACCCAGGAGTGTGTCTGACCAGGAAACCCCACTTTGGACTCGCCATTGGTGAGAAAAAAACTTGATTGTGCTAAGACATTGAGATCTGGGTGTCCTTTTATTATGTCACAGTGTATCAAGTGTATCATTTACCCCAACTGCTATAACTTACCATCTTTATTAGTATTTGTCATCACTAGACTACAGGATATTTAATAGACTGAGCAAAACAGGACTTTTAAAATGATTTTTAAAAAAGAATATTGCATGTATTAGTAGCTCTAGTTTGCTAAAGACTTTCTATCAGTCATGTTAAGTGCTTTGGATTCTTATTTAATTCGACAACAATCTTTTGAGGCAGATTTATTATCCCCATTTTACAGATGGGGAAATGGACTTTGAAAGTCTGTTAAAGAACTTGCTTTAGGTCAGAACACTAATGAGTGGCAGTGTTGTGATGGTGATCCAAGTCATTCAGTGTTTGCACTGAGCTCTTTACCTGTATGTGATTATATTCTTAAAGTTACTGGGGGAAACAGGATCAGACCACAGAAAGACACAGCAAGGTCACACCATGAACTGAGGAGAAGTCCTGGCCTTAAAGAGGAAAACAATTATCATATCTCTCTGCCCACAAAATCGTTGAGAGAACATTTCCTTTATCTCCATTCCACACCTCAAAAATACTGAATTGATTTTCTGTGATTTCCCTTTTCTGCCCTCCATTGAAAGACTTGATTATGTCCCAGTTTTCTGCAAAGAGAAAATTTTCGCTGCTGAGTTATAAATTCTGCAGGTTCTAACTAGGTTTCAATCGTGAGACTTTTATTCCTCCATTAATACGGGCGTGTCACTCCCATCAGGGGAACGCTTTTCTTAGAGGAAACAACATTCTGCTTCTATAGCGGCAAAACGAACAAGAGGGATACGATGTGTGATAGAAGCCTGTACCCTGACGGGAGAGGAAAAAAAAGAACGATGCTAAGTAGATGTCACTTATTGGCTGTTCTTGTGGATAGGGAATGTTGAATTTCAAGTTTTCTATTTTAAGCAGAGAAAGCAGACTTGTGCCTGACTGATCCCTATCGTGATTGTTACCATTCAAATTCAATAAGAGAATGCATGTGGAAGGGGCTGTGTAAATGTATGGGGCACCACACGTGGAAGATATTAAGGTTTCAGCCTTTATTAATAGAAGATCTGCATATGTGCTATTGTAGATGGTCCCCCAGGACTCCACAGCCTAATCAGATGGTGGAAGGCAGAAGTACGTGGTGGTTTAAAACACAAACTATGCAGATTCTTGGGTTAAATCTGACAGTGCTGCCCTGTCTAGCTGTACAATGGTTTGGTCAGTTACTTAACTTTCCAAGTTCCAGATTCCTCCTGTTTAAAATGGGGATAATGCTATTGCCCTCATTGCGTTTGGAGAATGGCACAGGATAATACACTCATTAATTGTCACTTTTTTTGTTTGTTTTGCGGTACGCGGGCCTCTCACTGTTGTGGCCTCTCCCGTTGCGGAGCACAGGTTCCGGACGCGCAGGCTCAGCGGCCATGGTTCACGGGCCCAGCCGCTCCGCGGCATATGGTATCTTCCCGGACCGGGACACGAACCCGTGTCCCCTGCATCGGCCGGCGGACTCTCAACCACTGCGCCACCAGGGAAGCCCAATTGTCACTTGTTTTGAAGAGGATGATAATCATGTTGACTCCTAAAAGAGACAAAAGAGAGAGAGGCTGGTCAATAACAAGAGCATATTTACTTATCGACTTTTCTTATGTAAGTTAGCATCCATTTCATGGATTGGAAGGATAAAAACAAAATCAGACTAAAAGAAATCCTAGAGAGATTTGGCCAGGCAATGACACAGACAGCTGGTAGATACGGCTCCCTGCAGAAGTTGGGACTTGAATGGTGGGATGGTAGAAGGAAGCCACAAGTGAATCCAGTAATTTTTCCATGAGACTCATTGTAATTTAAGATCTGGTCCAGGTCTCAGTAAGCACCTGCTCATCAGAGAAGGAGTGAGATTTCCACAGAACACAACTGGAAGCAGAAGTGGGTTTATAGGGGAAGACAGGGCTCTGTATAGGCAGAGAGAAAGAGAGACAGACAGCTCTGAGAATAGTCTTGTAAGATCAGTTGTGGATTTAGAGAGGGACTGGACCACCCTTGGCTTTGTCCTATAGGCCAATCCTTCATGTTCCAGTCACTCCCATAGTACATCCTATGGGAGGGACCGTTCATAGTTATTAGAGGTCAGAAAACAAAGTTTCCAGGTTGTTTATTCTGGAATTAGTCTTATCCTTTCAATATTCTACAAGTTTCCCACCAGCCTTCTAAAGAATATCACTCCTCTGTGGAATAGAATGCTCTTCTCTGAACTAAAAGTAAGATGTTTGTTTTGGAAGCAACATAGATTCAAATAGCAATAACAATCCTTTGCGGAAAAGAAAAGCATCTTTATATTTATTCGAGTAAACAGAAAAATAGCACAATTGAAATGATTTTCCACCTGCCAAACAAAACGGTTTCCTTTTGTGAGCCATGTTCCATATACAAGGTGGGTAGAAGCACAACACTGCACAGGGGGAATGGTGATGGATTCAGCTATCGAGGCCGCTGTGCCTGTCGATGGGGGTTCACCTGGATCTATTATATCTCACCTCAGTCGAAGACAGTCATCCTGCATGTACCGGACTGAAGGTTCTGCTCTTTTGCAAAAGGTGTCAGTTCTCTTCTCAAATGGCTGTGTTTTCCCTGGGAGTTAATTTGTGGGGATTCATGCCAGTTGAATTGGGCCTCAAGTTGAAGTAAAACTTCAGAGAAGCTGTCATGTAGCCCAGGTTAAACCAGAGATATCTACTGCGCTTCCTTCTGCAGTCAGATAGTTCTTGTCCCAGCCAGGGGGTTGGGATTTTCCACTGCCAGGTGTGCTTCTACCTTGGAAGGCTGGTAGCAAGGACATGCAGACCTATTTTTCTTCTCTGGTTCTCTTTAGAGATCTGGCTAAGCTGACCCACCAGTGTCCCCCAGGATCAAGGAGGCAGAACTCGGAAGGACATGATGGTTGCCTTTGACACCCTCACGGTTGTACTATTTTCACTCTTCTGAATTCTTATGGCTTCTGTTCTCAGACCTACCTAGGGGCTTCTGGCTCTCTCGTGGCTCCCTGAACCCTCTGCTGTGACAGTAAGCTTAGGTCCACCTTCATTAAAAAAAAAAAAGTAGCAATAATGACAATCACAGCGACTGACATTGGCTCTTTCTCATGTGCCTGATGTTATGCTAAGAATCACATTCACATTATCCTCCATGACTTTCTTCAGCAGCTGTATGAAGCGGCTCTATGTGTGACAGACACCGTTGGTGCCCATCTCCATCTCCTTGCTCCACCCCAGGAAGCCTCCTGCGGGCAGTCTGGTCTCCTGCGTGATGGCGGTGTCTCTCTGCCTGACATATGCTCTGGCCTCATGGGAAGATCCTCAGCCTAGTTGGGGGCTAAGCGGGAAGTACCCATGAATCCTTGGCCCAGGAACAACCCTCAACCTTGGAAGAATGGGAATTCCTGTATAAATCCCCCCAGCTTCCTTTCCCTTTGCTGGGACAATTCTGAAGCAAGTTCCCACAGTGTCCCAAAGGGTCCTCACAGGGGTTGAAAGCAGTGACCACAGTGGGAACCCCTCACTGAAGCCACTTGGACTGATTCTCCCCCCCTCCCATCTCACTTCTCCAGTGGTCCCAGGGATTACCACCCAAACTTGCTCCCCATTCTTGACTCAAGATTTGCCCTTGGGGGAATCCAAACTGAGATCACACATGATTGTTCTTACGTAACACAGGAGAAGTGGAGGCTTAGCGAGGCTGAACTGCCTGCTGTTGTATAGCTGGTGGATGGCCAGGCAAGACTCGAACCAGGATTATTATTATTCTCTCCCTGCCTTATTCTGCTTCCATCAGAAATAGTCTGGACCAATTTTTCTAGTTAAATAATTGAATTAATTAATATATAGCTTCTTTGCAAAAAGGACTTGAGTTTGCAGAGCATAACTGATAACTCCTTCCTTCCATCAAAACGTATTTTGCCTGGCTCCTAGCTCTATTGAGAGTCAGGATTCAGCTAACAATATAATTAAAGATAAATTTCATAAATTAATTACTGTTGCAATGCTATTGTCTGAGAGCGGCTAAACGTACTGTAGTGTGCCTCTAGAGATATTGACACTTTACACGGGGGTTTTGAGATTGCAATGCAATAACATAGAGAAAGGACTCTGTGTGGAATTTTCAACATCTACTGGTCAAGGAGACCTTTTCTCCACGCCCTGAGATGGGACATTTCCTGAACCTCTTATTTCATACCTCTGTCCATCTGCTCACTCTGCTCACTGACACCGATACTCTATCTAATCATCAAGATTCCTCCTGAACTGGAAGGCAGATTTTAGTCCTTCCTGTGTGCTAGCCTGGTTCCTTCTGAGGGACAAAAACATGCAGCCTTCCCTTCTTTAACTCCCTGTCTCGCCAGGGGACACAGAAGACCTGTTTACCTGCCTTGGTTTCCCAGCCTGTAAAAGAAAGACAACACCTGTTCCAGCTTGCTTTTCAGCAGGTGATGTGAAGATAAATGTGAGGAAGTCCACCAAGTCCTCAAATTCTTGGGATGAAAGAGGCCATGTAAATAGAACACAGTCTATTATGATTAAACTTTAATGCAGCTGCTCTCAGGCCTATAAAGGGAGCACAGTCTGGAAGGTAGGACTGCAGGGCTGTCCCCTCTCATCATTGCCCCCGTGAGTTCACCGTCTGGCAGCTCCATCTTAGAAGTGCCCATCCTTTCTGCTCATTCAATTTGGTTATTATTTTCAAGAGGTCAGTTATGCAGTTACGTTTTTGCCCTTCACATTCTTCAGATTTGGGCTCAGCTTTTAGAAAACACATATGTACAAGCTTACACGTATCGTCTAATAGATGACCCAACCCCTGGAGGGCCTGGGGCCTAGATCATAACTAGACAATTAGATATAAATTCTACTCTGAAAACAATATTTTTGACCCTCTGCGTGTTTGTCTGTGACCTGATACACACTCAAGCATCAGTGGTTTTCAAAACAACAAACTATACAATTTTCCTTATTGTGACAGAATAAGAACTGCTGGATTTCTCAGCAAAAGCAAAACAAAACAACCATAGAAAACCACCATCTTTTCCTTCCCAAATCAATTCTTTCAGTTTATGCTCCTAACTCCATAAAAATGTGGTTTAGCTTTTGAAGTTTTTATTAATATTTATAATGCCCATTTGGTGCCCTTGAACCTCACAGAAACAGAGCCCTGAAATGAATACCCAGCTTCTTGGTGGTAGGCTACCCAAGCCCAACCATAAACTTTAACATTTACGCATATATATTTGGCTTTGCTTTGTTTTTCCTGTCTCTTGATGTAGAAGATTTAAAAAAAAAACCACTTTTTAAAATGCAAATTTTAATGGCTTATATTTTAATTTCAAGGGTAATACATGCTTATAAAAAAATACAGATGTGCATATAGAAATAAAGGAGAAGTCTCTCTTTCCTGATCCATTTCTAAAATCTCTGTGCCAAGAAGTAAACCATATACTTTAAATCCTTTCAAATTAGAGTTCTGTTGGTTTGAGAAATTGAAATTGTCTGAAGAAGCTAGTAAAGAGTCATATTTCTCTCTTTTATTTCTGAATAGGAACGTAATAAGAAACTGTAGAAAATTTTGAAAATACAGTGAACTATAAGAAATTAAAATTGCCTGTAAGTTCACTACCCCTCAAATAACCAATTTTTAACATTTTATTGTATTTCTTACAGAATTTTCCTGTGCAAATATTTCCTGTGCACCCTGTGCACCCTACCCCCTCAGCACTGTATTATGACGATTTTCCAATACCCCCAAAACATACTTTTGAATGGCAGTAAAATATTCCATTGCAATTTCTTCATTTAAAATTGTTTCCAAATAGTAAGGGGGGGCGGAGTGGGATGCGGAATGCTTCGCCCTCTCACCTCATGTTTCTATGATTGGAGGTGAGGAGGGCTTCCCCTCTGCTGACCAGGAAGGAGACGTGTATGCAGAACACTGACTTGGGATCCTCTCTGGATCCCAAGGTGGAACGAGTTCTTTGGCTGGTGACGTGGGAGAAGGTAACAACTCAGTTATTCCCACCACGACCCTATGAAATCCCCAGACTCCTTCAGCCCCTTCATCTCCTTGGAGCAGCTGGTCTCCAGGATGCAGCCAGCTTCTCTGTTTCTCTTATTCTCCAAATAAGACTCACTTCTTTGGGCCACAGGCTGAGCTGCCTCTCTAATCCGGTTTAATCAACAATTAGGATTATGTATAGATGCTCATCAGTTAGATTCCTGTGTTTACCTCTCACCCAGCTCCTGACACAGATGGAGAGAGACAAGTGAGTCAAGAGTGAAAGTGTAACTTATTATACCCCATACTGCAACTAATACTCCTACAGTTAACATTTATTTAGTATTTACTCCCTTGCCAAGCTGTGATTTCTCATAACTCTCCCAACAACACTGTGAGGTTTGGTGTTATTATTCTCATTTTAGGGATGATAA